GATGGTAGAAAGCACCGAACAGCAAAACCAAGAACAAATCTAAGTCATGCTGAGTCAAATGCCAAAGAATGCAAGTGAGTTTTGAGGCGGGTTTCAAAGATGGGCAGCGAGGAGGCTTGCCGAATGTTCAGTGGGAGGTCATTCCAGAGAGAGGGACCAGCAACAGAAAAGGCCCGATCCCCTCTGAGCCTCAGTTTAGTTCTTGGTACGTCTAATAATGTCTGGTCCGCAGACCTGAGGTTTAGGTGAAGTTTTACTCATCCATCCTATTCAGTTGGAAATGAAATTCCAGTCTCATGTACACACACCCATTGATTAAACATCTGAGCTGTCTCTTGTCCGATTTCCAATGCAAACTTTATATTAATTCCAGTGAGAAGAAGAGTCTAATAATGTCTGGTCCGCAGACCTGAGGTTTAGGTGAAGTTTTACTCATCCATCCTATTCAGTTGGAAATGAAATTCCAGTCTCGTGTACACACACCCATTGATTAAACATCTGAGCTGTCTCTTGTCCGGTTTCCAATGCAAACTTTATATTAATTCCAGTGAGAAGAAGATGATGCCCAATGAGGGCATTTTTAGACAGACAAGGAAATACATTTGCGCAACATTGTCTTAAAAAAAAAAAGTCAATATTTTTAAGTATATTGATTTGAAAAACATCACTGAAGCATCCCTTTTAAAGTGTGTTGACTGAGCAAATCTACATTTCAAACAGGTGTGTTTTAGCACGAGACTTTATGCCGATCTGATCAATTGGATTGAAATCGATGGGATATTTTATATTTTATGCCAGATCGCTGATGGAGTGTAATGTCATAATTTGCACAATTTAACAATGACGTCATTGATAGGATCTGTGTGTCTTGTTAGTGGAAAGCCTTTGTGTTGGCAGGTGGAAGTTCAAAAAGTAATAGTCAGAATTCATCTTTTTTTTTTTTTTTTTTTTTTTAAATACAATACAATACATCCTGATTTGTATAGCGCTTTCACAACAGCTGCAGCTGTAACAAAGCGCCTAACAAAACAGTTAACGTAAAGTAAAATAATAAACACAACACATAACATAAAACACGGACAGTCGTGCAATCCGAAGAATGATAGAAAGGCAGAAAAACATTTTATTTATGTCAAAAAAAAGAACCAGCTACAGTATGTTCCATCTCTTTAATTTAAAATCATCACTCCTGCATAAGTTATGTGAATTTCCAGCCAATCACAACCAGCAGAAATAGCTCCGTTGTTGACAGACGGACTAAACTTTTGATAATCAAGGATACGCGAAACACTGTGATCATGCCAAACACGAGTTGAGCTATAACGTCAAAACAGTTGTATGTAAATATGGGCAAATCTGTACATCTTCACCGCAGCCAAACTGACATTACAATCGATCACCGATTTTTGTATAAAATGCAAAATATTGACCAGTTTCGATCCATTCGATCAGATTGGTATAAAATCTAGTACTGTCACATGTTGAGAGCACTTAAGAAAAACAGTCTAATTAATCTCTCTGGTTCTTATTGCAGCCCGACAGCTTCGTCTAGCTTTCTTGATGCATTCATGGAAAGACACCTTGGATTACTCCCCCAACACTATGGAGTTAGTTGTCCAGTTCGAGAAGTTCCTGAATGTATGTAATACAGGTCAAATGGATCTCTTGCGCAAAAAAAAAAAAAAAAAAATCTGTTTATCGTCAATGAAACCAGAATGCTATTTTGTAACGTGTTGTTTTCATCCCTTCGATCAACAGGAGTTCTTCTTAAATGTGAAGGACATTATGCGTGCACCTACAGACATCACTGGGCAGTTTGAAAAGTGGGATGAAGCAGAGGTGGCGCTTAACAAAAGGTAGGAGAGAGAAAGGCAATGTCAGATGTTGAAGCTCATATCCTCTTTTGGTCAGTCGTGATCAGAAATGGTAATAAACTGGGCAAAATGTGGTTCTCTCTCGTGTTCTGCTCCACTCCTCCACCAATTTAGGAGTTCATGAAGTAATTTTCTCTCAAACAAGTTTCAATGAAAAGTACAACCTTCTTGGTGTAGTATTTCTGTTTGTTTTTTTTCCCTTTCACGCAGCCTGCAACCTGATAAAACGAGAAGATGTCCTCTGTCGTAAACACTGTAACTTAAAGGGTTAATATTTTTTCATAGTTGGGATTTTTTTTCTTACTGGATTTTTTTTCTTAGGTTTTTTTTTTTTTTTGGGTCATTTTTCATGTAAAACATATATTGAATAAAATGTTGAGCATCACTTTTTGAGTTTGTAAAACACAAAATCCCAATGTGTCCCAAGTTGCAGCTGCAACAGTACCACCCGAATTGACACATTTTTAGTACGGTGCTGCTGTGGCGTCAGATATGGCATCCAATTGGAGACTTAGCGGCAGAGTGATTTCAAGATGAAAAGAGTCAGTTATTTTGGCAGTGCTGGGAATTTTGGAAAAACTGAGATACACCTCAAAACGGTCTCCAAATAGCCGTGACTCACAGAGGAGCCGAAATTCGTCAAGATCTTGTTGTGCTTTTATAATCGGATGAACTCTGCCCCTTTTGCTTCCTGAGACTCCTCATCTCTTCCTTCTCAGGTGCACAGGTGAAACTCAGTCTTTGCTGCCAAAATATATCCAGTGGCAATAATGTGTGGACACAGCTATGTGCTAATGAGAATTTTCTGTTCTGATACTTGATGCGGCGTGGCATACGGCCATGCGATGCGCCAAGCGTGAAAGAAACATGCGCAGGATTGCTACTAATTATAGCTATAACATTCAGCGTGTTGGTTATGGTGAAATCGGGCTAAAAATGTTGTGAAATTTGGTGATTGAAATGACAGGGGCCCTAGAGAATTGTATTAAATAGACTTGAGACTTGGAGATATCGGAAGTTGTTTTTGCTTGAGTACTGTTGTTTTTTTTTTGTTTGTTTTTTTTTTGGTTGGTTGTTTTTTTCTCACGAGGCCCCAAATTGAATATGACAGTCGCAAATCATTCAAAACTGTTCAAGTGTCCTCTGTATTCTTTAGCTTTTTCGACAGGAAGTCAGCCGTCCACGAGGCTCTGTGTGACAACATTGACACCCGCACAGCCATGGAGGAGATGAGGCAGTTGGTTAGCCACAGCAACAGCTACATCGCGAGCAAGAAAAGTGCTAAGCTGGGACCCAACCGCATGCTAATGGAAAGTATCGCCATATATCTCACCCAAATGCTCAAGGTGAGGAGATCGAAAGGCATCTCATGCTCCTTTTAACCTGCCTGCAAATTCAGTTTTTCAGGATGCTTCATTATTAAGCCCAATTCACATTTTTTAAGTCTCATTGGTCACACCACATCAGTGCTCCCTATTTTGCTACTTTCAAATTATGATAGTGTGAAATTGTTGTTTGGTCTGTATGTTTATGTAACACCCTCTCATAAAAAGTTGTCCATGTCATCTAGACATTTGGTGCAATTGAAGGATCAGAGCCCATTGGCTTCCCAGTTGGAGGAGAAGGACAGAATGTTGACGTAAGATACAACTTTTTTTTTTTTTGACAATATGCACCAATAATTGCAGGATTCCTCACTCAGTTTCCACTTACAGATCTATTTTAAATGTTAGGTCCGCACTCGGTTTGCCTCATAATTATTTGTGCATCACCTGCTATTGAACTTCACCACATGTCACTGCCATGAGGAGTCACATAGATTCTCATGACACAGCGTCTTGTATCTGAAACAGTTATGGGACCACCAAACTAAATATTTTCCCTCATATCATTGTGCTAGTGACCAAATTCATTTATGATACTGTATTTGTTAGGCAGCCTGGACACAACTTTTGTTGTTACAGCTAGCATGGGAACTGACACGACAGGAATTTCACGACAATATTTTATTTGTTTCCTGATTTGGTTGAGTGGGCGTCTTCAGATTCCCTCCTATGTTTTTGTTTAACATGTTTACCTCTGTTAATCTGAAATTAACACTGTGGTTTGAAAGTAACATACTTTCTTCATAACAGCACCAACGGCTAGTTAGTCACCATCTTGAACATTTGTCATCTGAAAAACAGCAGGAAGTCATTGACGTCCGCGAAAACTGTTTTAAGAATCAAATCTCTTGGATTTGATTTAACGTGTCAAAATTAATTGCTGTACATTTTAAAACTTCGGTTGTTCATGTTGATGTTTTCATATGATGGCTACTTATGATCAAGAGATGCTGAGCTGTTATGTCCTGTCGTCTTTTCTAGCTGGAGAGCACTGTGATGCCTTACCTTTCAGTACTCTCGAAGTTCCGAGAGCAAGTCCGAACAATCGCCAGAGAGCAGAAGGGTAAGAAGACCCAACGAATTCTGCTCTATTTTGAAATTCTCTTGTCACATTTAAAGTGAGACTCTTAAATAATGTGTAAAAGTGTTAGTTTTTTCAAGAGCAGTGTAAATATTTGTTTTTGTTTTTAACTTATTTACAGTCATGGAGTTGCTGCAGCTTTGTGATGATGTCCGTGATGTAACATTACCGGAGCTTGGTGTCCGACTTGAAGATCATGAAGGTAAATCTAGCTAGCTAGCTAGCTGTCTGTCTATCTACCCCTTTTTTTAATCATATGGCGGGCAGATGCTTATGGTCTGACAATAATGACATAGTTAGGTGGCACTGAATAGCCATGCACAAATAATAATTTGAATCATGTTTTCTTTGGAGAAGTGAAATACGAGAAGAGACAAGCGCGATGTACATTCCCGGTATTTGTGCTTGTCTCTCACCCTATAAAAGATTTTCTCTTTTTTTAAAATATGACAGTTGAACCCAAATTCAGTTTTATTAAACAGCTAATGAGCGTCGTTTATCATGTACTGATGCAATGTGACTTTGTGGCAGGACTGCCAACTGTGGTGAAACTGGTGGACAAGGAGATTTTACTGAAAGAAAGGGAAGAGAAGGTCAAGGTAAGGAGCGGCGGTAGCTTTTCAATTACAATGTGTCATTGTGAGCACAGGCTTCCGTTGTGGGAGCGGTTACTCAAATTTGGAAAAATGTGTCACAACACGAATACTGTAAGTAGCTGCTTAGTGCTTATAGGCAGAGATGGGGGACTCGAATCAATGACTTTATTTTGTCAGACTCAAGTTGCTTTTTTAGGACTTGCGACTTGCTTGCCAAAACCTTAAGAACGACTTGACTTGGCATTTAATTGACTTGACTTAGTCTTGAACGACATGACTTGACAAGTCATTTTGTTTCTAGATTGATATCTGCCCTTTGACACAATTTGCTTTTTAAGGAAGGAAAGACAGAAAATAAAGAGGGGTTTTGTTTCATTCATGCCAATCTGGCAACCTAATCAATGTCACTAGTTCAGGGATGGCCAACCAGTCAGAGACTAAGATCCAATTTTTTTTTCCTGTGTTACTGCAAAGAGCCACATCATACACATGGGCACACATAAACATCACTGCATCCCTTCCACACACACACACACACACACACACACACACACACACACACACACACACATACACACATACACATATAGTTTTATTGATAAATATTTGGGTCAGAGGGGCTATTCTTGCTTCCGGATATTCTTTTCAATTCTGTGTACCTGGAGCATCCTCCAGCCCACACACACACACACACACACACACACACACACACACACACACACACACATCTGCTCAGACAGATTTATTGTCACTGTTACACACCACCATGATAATGACAGAAATTGACTCCTACAGTACTAAGACCAGAGGCCAGTCATTTTCAACAATAAACACGCGGGCGTCCAACCATGCACACGCACTAATATGCACGCACACTACGATGAGCAACAGCCGAAACGGCCCCTCACATGAACGAAACCGAAACGATGTCACAATTTACTTACTAATTGACTTATTCATTGGAAATCTGGCTCTGTTTATGTGAACACAAAGCTGAAATCATGACTTATTCTGTATTCATGAATGGCAGCTGGTGGATCTACAAGTTTATTATACCTTCTGCCATCTTATGGAAGAGCATGTAATTGTTCTAATGTTCCTATGTCACTGGCATACATAGGTGAGTATTTGTCAACAAGAAATGGAAATTAAATGAACGTCAGCGGTTGAGGCAAGCTCAATGCTACTTGAGGTAACGAGGGAGTGAAGTTCCGAAGCATGCTGATCGCCTCAGGTTTGTTTTCAAGAGTGAAGCCATCCGAGAACACTTCTGTATTTGCCTCCCGAAACAACATACGTTATCGCTGTGGCATCAGGGTGAATAAGAGGCTCCAAAATGGATGTACTGTATTTGAAAACAAGATTGAAGGTGTGAACTATTGTTTTTGCAGCTGGAGGAAGAGAAGCAGAAAAAGAAAGAGGAGGCTGCCAGGAAGAAAGAAGAACTGGAGGTAGGTTTTGATCCCTTCAAGCTCATGAAAAAAATATATAATTTACAGTGAATCAAACTGTCACATTTTCTTATTTTTTTCTTCATGGCTTTTGTGTTTCAGATGGCAAAGCTGGCTAAAATGAAGATCCCTCCATTTGAGATGTTCCTCGCAGAGACAGACAAATATTCCAAATTTGATAAAACGGTAACACAACCTGGATAGGTTTTGAAACGACGTCTGTTAACTGACAACAAAATAGTACGAGCAAAAATGCAAGCATTTTCTGGAATTCGATATACCTGGGAAACCCGTAATGAAAGCGAGCGATATCTGGCCCATTTTTACAAATAATTATTGTGTGAGGCTGGTGAACCAACACATCTGATTTAGCCAAATTTCAGTTTTGCATTCATGAAAAAGTCCCATGTCCCCGACCTTGTTAAAGTGCCCTTTTGCCATACTGAACCTCCTATATTTGAACCAATTGTTTCGGACATGTGTACAGTTCTTGTGATGTCATTTCTTCGTCTGTCCACAGGGTTTCCCCACTCATGATGCTGAAGGGAAGGAACTCAGCAAAGGTCAAGAAAAGAAGCTGCGCAAGCTTTTTGAAAACCAAGAGAAGATACATAAAGAGTATCTTTTGAGCAAAGGCGTGCAGTCAGTGGTGGAAAAAAAATAATTGAATTAATATTGTTCAAAAATTCGATTCAATGGTCTGTGTTTAGTTTTTTTTTTTTTCCAATAATGTGTCTTGTTTCACAGTCAAAACTGCTGCATTTGTGTATACCATGACTTAAACTCTCGATATTGGTCTACCATTTGAAAATTGCCTTCAAATCAAATCAAAAAGTGAATTTTTAATGTCGGTCTCCTAAATTCACGGCAAATACATCACTCTGTTTAGCTCCTAAATGTGTACATTTGACTTTGCCAATGCCTTACCGTGAACCTCAACACACAGCACGCCATTGCTTAAAAGCCCCAAACTGACAAGACTGCAGACTAACAACAGGGTAAAGGCCTGACATAATTGAGCCACCTTAACAAATGCAACAGTGGGGGCGGGGGGATCCTCTCTGCTTCTAAGATCTCACAGTGAACACATTTTGTGTGCTTTGCTCAAAGGTCCTGCAGGCATTTGTTGCCTATACCCACAACCTTCGATCAAACAAATGCTATATTCGGTGACAGTATTAGCCACTTTTTCACAGCGTTCCTGAAACTCAGGCCCATCCAGATTCAGAAAGCCAAACCCCAAAAAAGAAGCCAGCGGTCAGTCACATTTATTCGGTGTAGCCCTAAAAATCACTCAAAATTGAATGTGTTGCGATTATAACTCCCAATTGAATATTCAGTTCCGAATATCAGAATACATGTGAAGGATTCCAAATGTAAAGGCAAGGCTAAGATACTTGTAGTAGCTTCACAAATTATGGAACCATATGAAGACTTTTTAATATGCAAAGACAGATGCCCACAGTACATATAGGGTGTCTAAATGATTTGATGAAGTAGTTCTAAATTACTTATTGTGTTTTTGGACATAGTATTCTAGTTATATTGATGTACGTTATATTCAGTCTTTGTCACAACCTTATCATGTTTACTTATTAGTCATGTCCCATTTACTTCCTTGCTCATACAGAATTCATTGTGGAAGACTAGTATCTGTCTGTCGACAAATACAGATGTGATGAAATGTCTTCAAATAAAAACTGCAATCTTTTTTTTTTGTTTGTTTGTTTTTTTTTTTTTTAAGGAATGTGTCTTCTGAAAATGAGAGTACAGATCTTTCTAACTCGGAAGAGGCGTGACACACCTGCGTGATCAAATGAGTGTGTGTACATCCTACACACACACACATTTGTAATGTAGTAAAAGTCCCTAAACCTGTTGTCTGCACAGGGATCGAACACCAGAGTTCCATCCTGTGTTTTAATAACCAGGAAAGCTCGCAGGGCTTCCTTTATTTTGATGTACTTAGCAAGCATCTTACTCGTTTTAAGACCGAACAAAGAAAACTCCACACTCTGAGTCAAGATCAAATTTACTTCATAACGTAAGTTTTACAAAAGAGGATACAGTCATTTGGCAGAGCGCATATCCTACTTAATTGAAATCTCTGCTGGAGCAATTTTCCACTCCAAGTTGTTAGACCTTCTGAATTTTTTTTTTCCGGAATAAGCAATAACGAATGGCATGACCCTTGATAAATGCCTACAAGGCCTCCCACGCATCACCAACAGAAGAAGCTGTGGCCCAGTTCGTGGTTAATTTCTTATTTCAAGGTCCAATTGCAGTCCTTCACCGGTTTCTCCATGTCGGTCCTGTCTCAATTTTATTAGTTTTACGGACTTTTGTTGTGCTAAAGAAACCAAAATGGCCATCCTGCTGCCCCAGCCAGTCTCTCGTAGAAAGCTGCAGCTCGTCGGTGTGACTGCAATGCTGGTTGCCTCAAAGTATGAGGAGACTTATCCTCCGATGGTGGGAGACTTTGCCAATGTCACGGACAACGCGTTCACCAATGCTCAGATTTGTCCATATTTTGACTAAATGTATAATATTATCATACTAAACTTATATTATTTTCTGGAGGTCCTTAAAACAAAAATTACAGCTAGTTTTTGTTTGGTGTAAAACTTGTCAGGTTATAAATCACTTGTTTGTTTGTAATGTAACGTCTGGTAGATTGTTTGTTTTCACTGCATGCTGTAATTGGCATCTGACTTTCATTGATGTTTTCTCCAGTTCTTTGAAAAAAGTGATTTTGGAAGGGGTGGGGATTGAATCAGTTTATTTAAGTGAGTACAGTGAAAATAGTTGTGTAAAAAAATAAGTCAGACAAACTGTCGATGAACTGAGTTAATTGAAGCGGACTCTTCTCATAGAGCCCACAGTGTGGCTCTGGCTGCCCCAGTCTGAGAAGTTGTTGAAGTCTCGTTTCTCCAGAATGTAGTGAGCTCCTCTGTAGTTTGGCTCCTGATACACAACCCACCTACAGTACAGACACACGTTAAACAGTGTAAACTTGGAAGTTTGTAAAGTATTTTGAAACTGGTCGAGCCTCCTTCGGCAGTATTAACCTCTACCAAAAGTGTCCTGCAGTTGCAGATCCGACCTGATCACAAGTAAGAAGGTATTTTGGACCATTCCTCCTTCCAGAACTTACAGCTCAGCAATGTTACTGGGATGTCTTGCGCGAATTACTACTCTTTAGGCCATGCCACAGCATCTCTAACAGGTTACGTTCAGAACTTTGGGCCAGTCCAGAAAGCGTAATTTCCTCTCTTTAAGCCACAGTTGTCAAAGTCAAGGCCCGGGGGCCAGATCTGGCCCGCCATATCATTTGATGTGGCCCGCGAAAGCAAATCAAACATGTCAAGTTCCACGATGCTTGCTAAAGTCTGAAACAAAATTTCAAATTGTCATATGTAATCCACAATAACAGTCATTATTCTTGACTTATGATTTTAAAACTAGTTATGCATCAATTTGTTGTGCGCCGTGTATGTAATATGTGGAGGTGATTAAACGTTGATATGGATTCCCAAAATTCATGATGGCCCACCAAGGGAAACCGTAACTAGAATGTGGCCCGCAACAAAAATGACTTTGACACCCCTGCTTTAAGCATTGAGTTGATATCCCCAAGTGCTCTGGGTTGTTGTGCTTGGAAGATGGACTTGTAGAAACTGTTTCCTACAGCTGAGCAGTTTTACGCTGTAATAACAGTGTTCACCACTAGATGGCAGACATTGCTTACTAGCATCTCCATCCGGCACACTGTACTCTGGCATCAGAGAAGAAGAAAGAGCAGGTCCTGACCAAAAGCAGTCTCAAAGCCAAATTATATAGAGATGTATTTTTAAGATCTTATGGACTTTTTCCAAGCTAAACTATATGCTACCAGTCAAGCCACACACATAAAATTAATGAAGCCTTCCTTTAAAAGTAGACAATCAACAGTGACCTATTAATTTGGGGATTTTTAAAGACTGCATAAAGTGGGGTTTTTGGGGGGTTTTTTTTTGCTGTTCGCCGTTGAAGCCTTTGAAGCATTTGCCCATTCGTATATATTAAGATACCGTTCTGTACATGTGTCCACTAAAACAAAAAATAGACACGCACATCTTTTAATGTGATTTAAAATGGCATACTTGTCATCCATCTGGTTAGGAAGAATCAGTCTTATGTGGCCCCTCAGTAACACGGATGAAAACTTGCTGTACTTACGCTCCTCCCAGTACACGAATTGAGGCTACTCTGTTTAGGCTATAGCGGCTCATCAGGTTCGGAATGTCATCCTGGATCTCCATTTTCTTACCGCAGAAACCGGTTCGCTCAAACAGCTGAGCTTTCGCAGGGTTGCTATCCTGCAAAGCAACATCATTATCCAAGTTATTTTCGTGGACCAATTTTTCCATTAGAAATAACAGCCTTCTTGAATGTGGCATCAACCCATGAGAATGGAGCTTCCTGAAACCTGCAGCATGACGGGTTTCGTCTGCACCTGCCGGTGTGTTATGTGTGCCCTTTCACCTGCTTGACGGCTCTGACAGATGAGATGTGATCCACCTGCGCACACCACTTGTCATAGCAGTTGTACTCGCCACGATCAGACATGTCCCACAGGCACTGGCGACCTCGGAAGTTGTCATGTTCGTAACCGATCCATCTGGAGTGGGTGAAGAGAGGTGATGAGCTGCATTTTTATGATCAGACCTCAAAGCTCAACTCTTTTTGGTAAAGTAGTGAAAGTCAAAATCATCAGCGCATTATAAATGAACAGTGCCGTTCAAACTTTTCCTGTGAATGTCCTTTGAGTACGGCAGCTGAACAAAATCTGGATGTAACTGCAAGTAATGCTTCTATCCAAAGCAGGGCTGTGTCTCACATGGGAACTAATAAATAATCAGAATATTAATCATTGTTGAATTTAGCTGACGATTAAATATTTTTGATGTGACATTGTCCATGTTTCTCCCAAAGTCTCGGCTCCAGCTCCCTGTTGTGGCCCTGAGGATAGGTAGTCTGGAAACGAATGGACGGATGGATGAAAAATACATTTCAAAATGAAAATTAGGAAACGGTGCTGAACACTCACTTAGGGGCAAACTAATTTTGATGACTCCACTGTGAGATTGATGTCCGTTCAGTGACTAAAGGTTTGCACCTGAGTGTGATTGGTTGTGCATGCCATGTGAATGACAAGCGGCCCCTGAACCTTTGTCAGCTGAGATGGACTCCAACAAGTGCTGTGGTCCTCGATAAGTGAAATGGAAAATGAATGGATAGATGGAATACACTGCTTCAACATATTCCAATTTTGTTTTAACTATCAAAACCTAATTTCACTTGGGTACACAATATATTTCCATATTCAAAGACTGACATTTACATTTGTCACGTGGTTTAGTAATTTTGAGACAAATTCTAGCATTCACAAAA